TCTCTTTTAATCAGCTTCGCACTTATTTAATTTTGTCTCTTTGATACTACACGTCCTAGGCCCATAACCTGTTGGGATTTTCTGCCTAACGCAGGTGCATGAGTATCCGTGTTAATAAGTAGACAATATCCGCTTAATTTGAACATTCTTTCTCCCAATCGAAGGTTTGATAAGCGCCAGCTTAGTTTATAAGTTTGAGTTTTAAGTTGAATCTTGTAAGGAGCAGACCTATCTCTCCCAGTTCCCGTTTACACTATTTTGATAAATAAAAATTATATTTTTTTTCAAAGTGTTAAATCCCGAGTCTGTCTCATTACAAAGAGGTATGTGTTGGTGCTCGTGTGCTTCGTCACCAAAGCCATCCATTTAGAGCCTACGTCCGACCTTACGACTGAGAAGTTTATCGCCACTTTCGCTCGTTTCGAGGATGCCCCCGAAAAGGAAGGCCTACTCTCCTCGATTTTCTCCAAGCTCTCAAAGAAGCTGCGACGGGTGCCTATAGTCATCAGCAGCTGCTCTGGCAGTTCATTCCTCCGGGAGCCACCCACATGGGAAGCTTGTGGGAGGAAGGCGTTAATAGCTTCAAGGCCCTGTTTTGTCTACCGCCACGCGAAAATACACGTTCGAAGAGCTGACTATCTGGCTAGCATCGAAGCAAGCCTGAATTCCCATCCACTCGCGCCGATGTCCGAAGAACCCGCTGACCTGTTGGCATTTACGCCTGGGCACTTTCTTGTTGGATGGCCTCTTCTCGCCATGATTGAAACCGAGATAAACGGGGACACCACATCCATTATAAACCGCTGGCAGCACCTGAAGGCTCTTCATCAGCAATTTTGTCTGCGATGGAAGGAGGAATACCTCAAGGAACTCCATAAGCGGAATACAAGAATTCTTCGTGCCGGGGACATGGTGGTTGTCAAGGAAGACAACCTTCCATCCATTAAGTGGCAGAATTGACGAGGTGTTTCCAGGATTCGATGGCCATGTTCGTGTGGTTATTTTGGAAACGGAAAGTAAATTCTGGCGAAGGTCCGACACAAACAAAACGTCTTTAAAAGTAATCTCTTCATTTCTCTTTCCTTGTATGTCAAATTTCACATCACCGACACCGTTAACCTTTGTTGTATTACTATCGGCCAAATGCAATGTTTTTTCAACACATATTATTTCCTTGAACATTTTCTTATTGGAACTCATGTGTGCCGAACAACCGCTGTCCAGGCACCACATATCATTATGCCCTTCGGATATGTATGCGTGTTCATTTTTGAACCGATTTCCGTTGTTTTCGCGTTCCTCGATTTTCGCACTAGCGTTCTCTTTCGGTTTCACTCGGCAATTTCGTGCAAGATGTCCGACTTTGTTACTCACAAAACATTTTCTGGTCTCCTTATGAGCTTTGTTCTCTTTGCCGATTCCCTTTCGGTTTGCGTACAGTGCACTCTGTTTCTCACGATTACTCTTCGTTTTTCCCACTTTCGATTCTTCCAATATTTTAACACGAAGCACATCTGGACTTGGTAAGTCGTCTTGGGTCTCGATCGCGCATCTAAATGTTTCATATGAATCGGGTAAACTGTACAATAAGAGAATCGCGAGCAAATCATCGCTACTCATGGCTACTCCGATCTCTTTCAACTTCTTTACCGCATCGAAAAAAACCGTTGATATGGAGCCGTGCGTCGTCTCCTTCACCCATTCGCGACAATGCTACCCGTTTTACCAAGCTGGCCTTTCGCACCGGTCCCTTTGATTGAAATGTTCTTTGTAATTTCAACCAATCCTCGATTAGTCCTTACTCAGATGTACTTATCGACAGAAGTATATCTGCACGAGCTTTTTCGTCTTTTATGGTCCATTCTGCCAGATCTTCTTCATCACTGGGGCACTTTTTCGTACCATTCACGTATGGCCATAAATCGTTTTTGACAAGTATAGCACACATTTGCAACTTCCATGTATCCAGATCCGCATATATATACCCGCCATTTTTCACAGCTTCTATTTTCGATTCTCTTTTAATCAGCTTCGCACTTATTTAATTTTGTCTCTTTGATACTACACGTCCTAGGCCCATAACCTGTTGGGATTTTCTCCCTAACGCAGGTGCATGAGTATCCGTGTTAATAAGTAGACAATATCCGCTTAATTTGAACATTCTTTCTCCCAATCGAAGGTTTGATAAGCGCCAGCTTAGTTTATAAGTTTGAGTTTTAAGTTGAATCTTGTAAGGAGCAGACCTATCTCTCCCAGTTCCCGTTTACACTATTTTGATAAATAAAAATTATATTTTTTTTCAAAGTGTTAAATCCCGAATTTGTTATTGTATATATTTTCTGCCTTCACATACAGGAACCTACGCACAGTTATACGAAGCCAAAAGAGATTAAAGAGCAGAAACACTAAAAATAAGTATCGATTCAAATCCACACGAGTGCAAAATAGCAAACACTAAAAATAAAATAAACGTAGATTCAAATCCACACGAGTGCGACCGCGATGAAAAGATCTGTGTTGTTATTGTTATTTTCCTTCTCTCTCTCTCCCTCACGCATGCACTGCGCTGCCGACGGTGAGCATTTCTCCCCAACACAAGCCAAGGTTTTAATTCCACCGTTCCGGATCCGTTCGAAAATATTTATTTATAATTATAGTTAGTAATTAATTATAAATATTATTTAATTATTTACGGCCAATGATAAGTAATTAATTAATTTATTTTTATTGCGGGTCTTCCTTGTTTTTTTGAGAGCGAAAATATTTGCCAACCCCCAATAAATAAATAAATACAATTAAATAATTTGCAAACAATAATAAAGGAAATAACAAAATTAAATAAATACATTTTCAATGAGTTCGCGTGGCGAAGCCTCACAAACCGCTTCGAGAATGTTATTTGAGAAGGTTATTAGTCAGAAGGTTATTATTAGTCAATAGCCAGTACCCCAAGAGTCCGGAGCCGCTCTGAAAGAGCTGCAAGGCACAATCCAAAGTTGCCTGACAGCCTTAGAGATGTCCTCTATTCAAGTCGAGATTTGGGATTGTCTTCTGGTGTATATGGTTTCTTTAAAGCTTCCCAAAATCACGCTTTCGATTTGGGAGCAATCCATTCAACACAAGGCTGAAATTCAAACATGGAATGAGCTAGACTCGTTCTTGACAGAGAGTCATCGTACTCTGGAGGCTATCGACGACATCAGGTCTAGCAATTCGGGGCAGCTTCCGCCAAGCTTGAGACCTGCGAGCGCCCCAGCGCCCCAGGCCAGTGTGGCTTATGTTCGCTTATGTCCCCACTTCCTTGAAATGGATGTAAATAGTCTCTCCGACTACATTAAGAAAAAACCGCTTTACCTGAACTGTTTTGCACGAGGGCACCTGCAACGGGATTGCACTGGCGCCCATAGCTGCTTCAGCCATCCGCCATCACCCTCCTCCACAGCGGTAATCCATTCCGTCTGCGCCAGCCATGTCTCGACCCGCGGTAACAGACTCCAAAACCGAAGCGCAAGTTTGCTAAAGGCAAAGACGCAAGTGGCCCCAGTAAAAACGGTGTCTCTCCCGCGGCTCGAGTTGTGCGGAGCCTTGTTATTGTCCGAGATGGTCAACGCCGTTCGTCCGAAAATGCCCGGGCCGGCGTCCTCCCTCCGCTATTGGACTGACTCGACGATTGCTCTCGCCTGGTTGCATTAGCCGGCGTATCACTGGGCAACTTTCGTGGCAAATCGAGTAACCAAGATCACCCAGTTCACCGAGGTGTAAAAATGGGCACATGTCCGCAACGAGCATAACCCGGCAGATCTCGCTAGCGGGGGAGTAGCGCTTTAAGACCTCCCGGACAGCCAGCTGTGGTGGCATGGTCCTGCCTGGCTGCAGAGGTCTCGCTGCTAGTGGCCCATCCAAGGCTTTGACTCCGCTGGGACTGAACTCAAGAAGCGAGCAGTCAAAGTCCATGTTGCGAAGGCTCCCCCTGAAGACATTCTTGAGCGATTTTCCACACTCGGCAAGGCGTTGCGAGTCCTCGCTTACGCTCATCGATTCATCCAGCGCTCGCGAAAGCTCTTGTCTCCGTTTGAGGATCTCTTGACAGCTCCCGAAATTGCGTCGGCCGAGCGTCTCTTGATTTCCGTCACGCAACGCAGGTACTTCGTCCTTGAGACTAAGCCAAAAACGCCCAGTGCCAGCAGCCAGTCTTGTTCTAAACCTGAACCCGTTCCTTGATTCCCAAGGGCTCATGAGAGCATGCGGCCGCGTCACTGCCTCCCAGTTTCTCCAGTATGATGAATGGCATCCTGTCATCCTTCCATTCGACTGCCATTTGTCTCGACTCCTCTTCCATTTTACGCATCGCATAACGCTGCACGGCGGTAATCAGCTGATGATCCGTCTGATCCGTTCTAAATTCTGGATCCCGAGGTTGAGGAATTGGGTTAAGTCCGTCATATATTCGTGCAAGGTATGCCTCATCCACAAAAAGAAGTTGCGAAGAAGTCCTTACTGGTGTGGACTATGCCGGTCCTTTCGACATCAAAAACTACACGGGACGAGTCTGTCTCATTACAAAGAGGTATGTGTTGGTGCTCGTGTGCTTCGTCACCAAAGCCATCCATTTAGAGCCTACGTCCGACCTTACGACTGAGAAGTTTATCGCCACTTTCGCTCGTTTCGAGGATGCCCCCGAAAAGGAAGGCCTACTCTCCTCGATTTTCTCCAAGCTCTCAAAGAAGCTGCGACGGGTGCCTATAGTCATCAGCAGCTGCTCTGGCAGTTCATTCCTCCGGGAGCCACCCACATGGGAAGCTTGTGGGAGGAAGGCGTTAATAGCTTCAAGGCCCTGTTTTGTCTACCGCCACGCGAAAATACACGTTCGAAGAGCTGACTATCTGGCTAGCATCGAAGCAAGCCTGAATTCCCATCCACTCGCGCCGATGTCCGAAGAACCCGCTGACCTGTTGGCATTTACGCCTGGGCACTTTCTTGTTGGATGGCCTCTTCTCGCCATGATTGAAACCGAGATAAACGGGGACACCACATCCATTATAAACCGCTGGCAGCACCTGAAGGCTCTTCATCAGCAATTTTGTCTGCGATGGAAGGAGGAATACCTCAAGGAACTCCATAAGCGGAATACAAGAATTCTTCGTGCCGGGGACATGGTGGTTGTCAAGGAAGACAACCTTCCATCCATTAAGTGGCAGAATTGACGAGGTGTTTCCAGGATTCGATGGCCATGTTCGTGTGGTTATTTTGGAAACGGAAAGTAAATTCTGGCGAAGGTCCGACACAAACAAAACGTCTTTAAAAGTAATCTCTTCATTTCTCTTTCCTTGTATGTCAAATTTCACATCACCGACACCGTTAACCTTTGTTGTATTACTATCGGCCAAATGCAATGTTTTTTCAACACATATTATTTCCTTGAACATTTTCTTATTGGAACTCATGTGTGCCGAACAACCGCTGTCCAGGCACCACATATCATTATGCCCTTCGGATATGTATGCGTGTTCATTTTTGAACCGATTTCCGTTGTTTTCGCGTTCCTCGATTTTCGCACTAGCGTTCTCTTTCGGTTTCACTCGGCAATTTCGTGCAAGATGTCCGACTTTGTTACTCACAAAACATTTTCTGGTCTCCTTATGAGCTTTGTTCTCTTTGCCGATTCCCTTTCGGTTTGCGTACAGTGCACTCTGTTTCTCACGATTACTCTTCGTTTTTCCCACTTTCGATTCTTCCAATATTTTAACACGAAGCACATCTGGATTTGGTAAGTCGTCTTGGGTCTCGATCGCGCATCTAAATGTTTCATATGAATCGGGTAAACTGTACAATAAGAGAATCGCGAGCAAATCATCGCTACTCATGGCTACTCCGATCTCTTTCAACTTCTTTACCGCATCGAAAAAACCGTTGATATGGAGCCGTGCGTCGTCTCCTTCCCCCATTCGCGACAATGCTACCCGTTTTACCAAGCTGGCCTTTCGCACCGGTCCCTTTGATTGAAATGTTCTTTGTAATTTCAACCCATCCTCGATTAGTCCTTACTCAGATGTACTTATCGACAGAAGTATATCTGCACGAGCTTTTTCGTCTTTTATGGTCCATTCTGCCAGATCTTCTTCATCACTGGGGCACTTTTTCGTACCATTCACGTATGGCCATAAATCGTTTTTGACAAGTATAGCACACATTTGCAACTTCCATGTATCGTAGTTATCTGGGCTTATCCAGATCCGCATATATATACCCGCCATTTTTCACAGCTTCTATTTTCGATTCTCTTTTAATCAGCTTCGCACTTATTTAATTTTGTCTCTTTGATACTACACGTCCTAGGCCCATAACCTGTTGGGATTTTCTGCCTAACGCAGGTGCATGAGTATCCGTGTTAATAAGTAGACAATATCCGCTTAATTTGAACATTCTTTCTCCCAATCGAAGGTTTGATAAGCGCCAGCTTAGTTTATAAGTTTGAGTTTTAAGTTGAATCTTGTAAGGAGCAGACCTATCTCTCCCAGTTCCCGTTTACACTATTTTGATAAATAAAAATTATATTTTTTTTCAAAGTGTTAAATCCCGAGTCTGTCTCATTACAAAGAGGTATGTGTTGGTGCTCGTGTGCTTCGTCACCAAAGCCATCCATTTAGAGCCTACGTCCGACCTTACGACTGAGAAGTTTATCGCCACTTTCGCTCGTTTCGAGGATGCCCCCGAAAAGGAAGGCCTACTCTCCTCGATTTTCTCCAAGCTCTCAAAGAAGCTGCGACGGGTGCCTATAGTCATCAGCAGCTGCTCTGGCAGTTCATTCCTCCGGGAGCCACCCACATGGGAAGCTTGTGGGAGGAAGGCGTTAATAGCTTCAAGGCCCTGTTTTGTCTACCGCCACGCGAAAATACACGTTCGAAGAGCTGACTATCTGGCTAGCATCGAAGCAAGCCTGAATTCCCATCCACTCGCGCCGATGTCCGAAGAACCCGCTGACCTGTTGGCATTTACGCCTGGGCACTTTCTTGTTGGATGGCCTCTTCTCGCCATGATTGAAACCGAGATAAACGGGGACACCACATCCATTATAAACCGCTGGCAGCACCTGAAGGCTCTTCATCAGCAATTTTGTCTGCGATGGAAGGAGGAATACCTCAAGGAACTCCATAAGCGGAATACAAGAATTCTTCGTGCCGGGGACATGGTGGTTGTCAAGGAAGACAACCTTCCATCCATTAAGTGGCAGAATTGACGAGGTGTTTCCAGGATTCGATGGCCATGTTCGTGTGGTTATTTTGGAAACGGAAAGTAAATTCTGGCGAAGGTCCGACACAAACAAAACGTCTTTAAAAGTAATCTCTTCATTTCTCTTTCCTTGTATGTCAAATTTCACATCACCGACACCGTTAACCTTTGTTGTATTACTATCGGCCAAATGCAATGTTTTTTCAACACATATTATTTCCTTGAACATTTTCTTATTGGAACTCATGTGTGCCGAACAACCGCTGTCCAGGCACCACATATCATTATGCCCTTCGGATATGTATGCGTGTTCATTTTTGAACCGATTTCCGTTGTTTTCGCGTTCCTCGATTTTCGCACTAGCGTTCTCTTTCGGTTTCACTCGGCAATTTCGTGCAAGATGTCCGACTTTGTTACTCACAAAACATTTTCTGGTCTCCTTATGAGCTTTGTTCTCTTTGCCGATTCCCTTTCGGTTTGCGTACAGTGCACTCTGTTTCTCACGATTACTCTTCGTTTTTCCCACTTTCGATTCTTCCAATATTTTAACACGAAGCACATCTGGACTTGGTAAGTCGTCTTGGGTCTCGATCGCGCATCTAAATGTTTCATATGAATCGGGTAAACTGTACAATAAGAGAATCGCGAGCAAATCATCGCTACTCATGGCTACTCCGATCTCTTTCAACTTCTTTACCGCATCGAAAAAACCGTTGATATGGAGCCGTGCGTCGTCTCCTTCACCCATTCGCGACAATGCTACCCGTTTTACCAAGCTGGCCTTTCGCACCGGTCCCTTTGATTGAAATGTTCTTTGTAATTTCAACCAATCCTCGATTAGTCCTTACTCAGATGTACTTATCGACAGAAGTATATCTGCACGAGCTTTTTCGTCTTTTATGGTCCATTCTGCCAGATCTTCTTCATCACTGGGGCACTTTTTCGTACCATTCACGTATGGCCATAAATCGTTTTTGACAAGTATAGCACACATTTGCAACTTCCATGTATCGTAGTTATCTGGGCTTATCCAGATCCGCATATATATACCCGCCATTTTTCACAGCTTCTATTTTCGATTCTCTTTTAATCAGCTTCGCACTTATTTAATTTTGTCTCTTTGATACTACACGTCCTAGGCCCATAACCTGTTGGGATTTTCTCCCTAACGCAGGTGCATGAGTATCCGTGTTAATAAGTAGACAATATCCGCTTAATTTGAACATTCTTTCTCCCAATCGAAGGTTTGATAAGCGCCAGCTTAGTTTATAAGTTTGAGTTTTAAGTTGAATCTTGTAAGGAGCAGACCTATCTCTCCCAGTTCCCGTTTACACTATTTTGATAAATAAAAATTATATTTTTTTTCAAAGTGTTAAATCCCGAATTTGTTATTGTATATATTTTCTGCCTTCACATACAGGAACCTACGCACAGTTATACCAAGCCAAAAGAGATTAAAGCGAGACAAAATAGCAAACACTAAAAATAAAATAAACGTCGATTCAAATCCACACGAGTGCAAAATAGCAAACACTAAAAATAAAATAAACGTAGATTCAAATCCACACGAGTGCGACCGCGATGAAAAGATCTGTGTTGTTATTGTTATTTTCCTTCTCTCTCTCTCCCTCACGCATGCACTGCGCTGCCGACGGTGAGCATTTCTCCCCAACACAAGCCAAGGTTTTAATTCCACCGTTCCGGATCCGTTCGAAAATTTTTATTTATAATTATAGTTAGTAATTAATTATAAATATTATTTAATTATTTACGGCCAATGATAAGTAATTAATTAATTTATTTTTATTGCGGGTCTTCCTTGTTTTTTTGAGAGCGAAAATATTTGCCAACCCCCAATAAATAAATAAATACAATTAAATAATTTGCAAACAATAATAAAGGAAATAACAAAATTAAATAAATACATTTTCAATGAGTTCGCGTGGCGAAGCCTCACAAACCGCTTCGAGAATGTTATTAGAGAAGGTTATTAGTCAGAAGGTTATTATTAGTCAATAGCCAGTACCCCAAGAGTCCGGAGCCGCTCTGAAAGAGCTGCAAGGCACAATCCAAAGTTGCCTGACAGCCTTAGAGATGTCCTCTATTCAAGTCGAGATTTGGGATTGTCTTCTGGTGTATATGGTTTCTTTAAAGCTTCCCAAAATCACGCTTTCGATTTGGGAGCAATCCATTCAACACAAGGCTGAAATTCAAACATGGAATGAGCTAGACTCGTTCTTGACAGAGAGTCATCGTACTCTGGAGGCTATCGACGACATCAGGTCTAGCAATTCGGGGCAGCTTCCGCCAAGCTTGAGACCTGCGAGCGCCCCAGCGCCCCAGGCCAGTGTGGCTTATGTTCGCTTATGTCCCCACTTCCTTGAAATGGATGTAAATAGTCTCTCCGACTACATTAAGAAAAAACCGCTTTGCCTGAACTGTTTTGCACGAGGGCACCTGCAACGGGATTGCACTGGCGCCCATAGCTGCTTCACATGCCACATCCGCCATCACACCCTCCTCCACAGCGGTAATCCATTCCGTCTGCGCCAGCCATGTCTCGACCCGCGGTAACAGACTCCAAAACCGAAGCGCAAGTTTGCTAAAGGCAAAGACGCAAGTGGCCCCAGTAAAAACGGTGTCTCTCCCGCGGCTCGAGTTGTGCGGAGCCTTGTTATTGTCCGAGATGGTCAACGCCGTTCGTCCGAAAATGCCCGGGCCGGCGTCCTCCCTCCGCTATTGGACTGACTCGACGATTGCTCTCGCCTGGTTGCATTAGCCGGCGTATCACTGGGCAACTTTCGTGGCAAATCGAGTAACCAAGATCACCCAGTTCACCGAGGTGTAAAAATGGGCACATGTCCGCAACGAGCATAACCCGGCAGATCTCGCTAGCGGGGAGTAGCGCTTTAAGACCTCCCGGACAGCCAGCTGTGGTGGCATGGTCCTGCCTGGCTGCAGAGGTCTCGCTGCTAGTGGCCCATCCAAGGCTTTGACTCCGCTGGGACTGAACTCAAGAAGCGAGCAGTCAAAGTCCATGTTGCGAAGGCTCCCCCTGAAGACATTCTTGAGCGATTTTCCACACCCGGCAAGGCGTTGCGAGTCCTCGCTTACGTTCATCGATTCATCCAGCGCTCGCGAAAGCTCTTGTCTCCGTTTGAGGATCTCTTGACAGCTCCCGAAATTGCGTCGGCCGAGCGTCTCTTGATTTCCGTCACGCAACGCAGGTACTTCGTCCTTGAGACTAAGCCAAAAACGCCCAGTGCCAGCAGCCAGTCTTGTTCTAAACCTGAACCCGTTCCTTGATTCCCAAGGGCTCATGAGAGCATGCGGCCGGGTCACTGCCTCCCAGTTTCTCCAGTATGATGCATGGCATCCTGTCATCCTTCCATACGACTGCCATTTGTCTCGACTCCTCTTCCATTTTACGCATCGCATAACGCTGCACGGCGGTAATCAGCTGATGATCCGTCTGATCCGTTCTAAATTCTGGATCCCGAGGTTGAGGAATTGGGTTAAGTCCGTCATATATTCGTGCAAGGTATGCCTCATCCACAAAAAGAAGTTGCGAAGAAGTCCTTACTGGTGTGGACTATGCCGGTCCTTTCGACATCAAAAACTACACGGGACGAGTCTGTCTCATTACAAAGAGGTATGTGTTGGTGCTCGTGTGCTTCGTCACCAAAGCCATCCATTTAGAGCCTACGTCCGACCTTACGACTGAGAAGTTTCTCGCCACTTTCGCTCGTTTCGAGGATGCCCCCGAAAAGGAAGGCCTACTCTCCTCGATTTTCTCCAAGCTCTCAAAGAAGCTGCGACGGGTGCCTATAGTCATCAGCAGCTGCTCTGGCAGTTCATTCCTCCGGGAGCCACCCACATGGGAAGCTTGTGGGAGGAAGGCGTTAATAGCTTCAAGGCCCTGTTTTGTCTACCGCCACGCGAAAATACACGTTCGAAGAGCTGACTATCTGGCTAGCATCGAAGCAAGCCTGAATTCCCATCCACTCGCGCCGATGTCCGAAGAACCCGCTGACCTGTTGGCATTTACGCCTGGGCACTTTCTTGTTGGATGGCCTCTTCTCGCCATGATTGAAACCGAGATAAACGGGGACACCACATCCATTATAAACCGCTGGCAGCACCTGAAGGCTCTTCATCAGCAATTTTGTCTGCGATGGAAGGAGGAATACCTCAAGGAACTCCATAAGCGGAATACAAGAATTCTTCGTGCCGGGGACATGGTGGTTGTCAAGGAAGACAACCTTCCATCCATTAAGTGGCAGAATTGACGAGGTGTTTCCAGGATTCGATGGCCATGTTCGTGTGGTCGAAAGCCGCACTGCGCGGGGACTCATTAAGCGACCATAGCGAAGGTCGTCCTTCCTGCCAAAAATAAGTTTTTGTTGACTTACGTACAATTCTGTCGAAGCAGGTTCGTTGGGCCCATCGAAGAGGCTGTAGCAGATTATTTGATGTAAAGGTATTTAAAGAGATTTTCTGACGCGCTAAGCGTGTGTGATTTGAACGACTGGGTCGTACAACATGATTCTAATAATAGTAACGAGCTCAAATTAAGACCATCTAATCCAGTTCCTGATATACACAAAAAAATAATTAAAGAATCGAATCTGTCACATCACGTTTCTAAATTCCAGTTCTTTATTCTACAACTTTAATTCGGAGACTGTTCATAGTAAAGATTTTCCTTAGATAGCTCGCTACATCCACAGTGTCCTGGCTTTGGCCGGCTTTTAGCGACGCTGAGGCATGATCGCCTCGAGTGATCACACCGCCTCTTTACTCTTGTCGATTTAGTGTGGGTATTTCTTCATTCCACGCGTGGCTCGTGCTGGTTCGGTTATGAGGTTGCAGTCAGCCGCCTGGTAACCTTCCAAAAGATTGGATGATCCTAAATCATCATGGCCGCACATGGCGTGCTGTAAGTCGTGGTATAAGCGTAGTACAGCACGTGGCATTACGGCTTGGAGTCAGCGCATTCTACAGGTT